CCGCGCCGCCACGCCCCCGCGCCTGGCCACGCCCCTCCCGCCGCCCATTTAAGCCCGCCCTCTGCTGCGCGCGCGTCATTAGTAGGCGGGCGGCGGGCGGGCGCGACAGACGCGTGAAATACACGTGCACACACCGAGAGCGAGCGAGCGAGCAAAATAGATAACTAACTAACTAACTAGCTAGCTGGATAGACAGGCATAGAGAGAAACCGATATAAATTTAGTGCTATAGAGAGGGGGTGTGGTGGGAGCTTTTGTGCGCACACACGCAACACCACACCACACCCCTCACATCTGCGCGCGCCTCGCACCGTGGCACCACACCAGACCCTTCATGTGGGCCGCAGGCGGGAGCGGGGCTCAGTGCCCACTGCTGCCTCCGCTGGGGCGGGGCTGTCCCTGGCGGTGCCCCCGGCCCTGGGGTCCTACCTGCTCTCTGCCTCCTGCGTCCTTTGGCCGTTGCAAACACTTCTCTCCTTCGGCCTCTCTCTAAGCCGAAAACCCGTCGCCATGTGTGTCTCCTCGGGGGAGTCGCGCACTTGGTCCCGCCGGGGTTTTTGACGTCCCCGGGTTGTCCCTCACCCCTGACGTGGGACGGGCGGCCTGGACAGACGAGTGCGGGCACTGTTGCGACGCCCCACGTCCCGTCGCTCCCTTCCTCGGTCCCGGTGGAGCAGTCGGGCCCTTCTGCCGCGCCGCGCCATGTCTCCCTGGGCGCAGGCCGCGAGGGCCGCGCTGCGCCGCGCCGCACACTGCAGCTCCTGCCCGGTCACTTCCCGTCGCCCGCGGGACGTTGCAGACAGGACCTGGCATGTCTCGAGATGCCCCACAGCCGCCCCGACCGGCGTGGTTCCCAGTTTACTTCTCTGTTTATATTTCTTCTGTCAGTTTTGAGTCCTCGCCTCTGCGCGATGTGCAAGCTGAGTCCAATTAGTTTTTCTATTAAGATTTTATGAGGCAGGTCTCGAATCCTTCACTAACATCCAAATATATTACATTTAACTGTGAGCCTTTCATCCATTAATTTTTGTAATACTACAAGGGGGGAAAAAGCAATCGCGCTTGTCTGGAGAGATTTATATTTTATAACCTCCCAGTGTTTATGCTTCATGGGTTTTTACCTTTCAGATATTTAGTGAGTTTTAAAAAATAATACATCTCCCGTTACTTTGCTAAAGCGGCGTTCAAGTTAACAAGGCAACAAGGGGGCGTTTGACAAGACGCTTCCTTCTCGCTTTGAACATACTGCGTTTTCGTACTGCCATTCGATGGCACCTCCCCAGCTCGTGCCTTCTTAAAAATGACGGGCAAAACGAGCGACTATGCGAAGCGTGTCAGAAAACATGGTTTTCATAGATTCATTCGTAGGCCGGAAGGGACCTGGGGAGGTGGTTGTGTCCAGGCCCCGGCACCAGGCAGGAAAGGCAGCTTGACTGATTTAACCGCGTTGCGCTTCCAAGCCCCCGCCCGCCCTGCGTCCATCCGTATTTTTACTGGGATTCTGACTCTTCAAAGCTCCCTTTTCCCATTGAAGCATCCTGCGTTGTCACCTTCACCTGTGAGAATTTGTTTAAACCGTTTTACCAAAGACGCCTTCTCCTTCTGTTGCTGCCCAAGTTTTTCTTCAGATTTGTCCTGCCAGTATCTCTGCTTGGTTGCTTTGGGGTTTTTTCCACGTGTAACCCACTCTGGCCTGATCTCATTTTACTCGGACTGACTGCTCGGGATTCAGGGGCGTTAATGGCTGTGAGGCAGTCACTGTCATTGTGGAGGGGTTTCGACAGAGCGATACGAAATAGCGGGGTCAGGACTAAGAAATGCCGCTCGAGCTGTACCGGTTCTCGGGCGGGAAGAGACGGGTGCGATACAGGTCTGCCCTGATGGGCATCTCGATGTTTAGGAGAAGCGTGCGCACAGCTTGCCTGCCACGCGTCTGGGTTTGGCCCCGATGCAAGCGAATCCTGGCCTCCCCTGAACACGGGAGGAGCACGGTACTATTGTTAACTTAACTTATTTAGTCTTTAAGGCTCTTTGGGCCACCCTCGTTTGGTGGCCGATGGTGTTACCGGCACCCGGCTGGTCGCCGGGCAGGTCTTGTTTGGAGCAGCTGTTCACAAAAAAAAATTCTTCAGGGGCCGCCGCTCTACCTGCGTAAGGCGGCTGGGCTCCCGGCATTAAACCAACAATACCGGGGCGCCCACCGGCTGGCAAACTGCTGCAGCTTGCCGGCGGCTACTGCCCAGTGGTGCTCCGCCCGGAGACGCACGCGGAGGACACCAAGGAAAAACGCCCCGAGGTCACCGGGAGCCTTCCCGGCCAGAGCCTCCTTCCTGGATAGCCAGATGACTAGCTTGGCCAGAGCCAGGAGGAGGTTGACCAGTTGGTCCCGGGCCTTGGTGGGGCGGCGGATGGGGAGTGCTCTAGGACTTGGGTCATTACGGGTTTGTCTTGCACCTGCCTGACAGTATTTCCTAATGAGAGGTGTAGCTCTATAACGTATTATCTTTAAACATGTATTTTATGGTCAACTGCAGCACAGGAGTGGAGAACTAAACCTGTTGTAGTCAGAACAATAAACATGTATTATTTATCCGTATGGATCTTGGATTCGCAGCTGCCAGCGTGCATTACGTGGTGGTGGGACGTAGGAGAGCCAGGGCTCTTAGCCAATTTGCACCAGCCATGGAGAGGCTAATGGATTTTTTCTTTACAACTGCACAAAAAGCTAGGTGGAATTATTTAGGAGCATAATTTTTCCTGTGTCCATTAGGAATGTTACATAGCCATTTACAAATTACCTTTGAAAGCTTCAATTTTGTGTGAAAAACAACTTGTTCAGGTTGTTAACATTTAACATTCAAGTTAAAATGGCTTAAAATGCTAACTAAGGATTATTTTCATTTCCATTTTTTATTTTTAGGGAAAAAGATGAAGTTTTAATGATGGGTTTTGTCTAGAACCATTTGTTTTTAACCACATTACTGGTGTGAGCATCCTGTTTCTGAAAGCTGCAAAATTGGCCATTAGTCTGTGCAAACACAATACAAGGGGGTTTTAGGCTTTGCGAAAGGACATTGAACGTAAAACTATAATTTAGCAACAAAGGCCGTTTGCTGCTGTTGCAGGAAAGCTGAAGCTAAACAATGTATATCAGATGTGGAAACCGTTAGGCCTTACGTACCAGTGGCTGCCTGCACCTCGCCCAGAAAGACTTAGAGATAGGCCAGGAAAGGAGAGAGAACTGCGTCAGGTCCCTGACGAACTTTCCTCTTCTGTATCGCGTCAGAGCGTCGGCACGGTCCGCTGGCCCCGGCTGTCCAATCGCGCTCGGTCCCAGGCCCTGCAGGCATCCTTGCTCCCTTGGACTCACCGTAACGTTCAATTCAACACACGATGAGCTCTCTTTCTTTTCTCTCAGGGTAGTGGTATATATGAAACAGGTTAGAAAATACAGCAAACACCGCTCTTTTGCCATGGTCCCTGCGGGGTGCTCAGCACCCACTGGACAGGACAGGCTGTACGCGGGGGCAGTCCCTGGGGGAGCTGGATTACAACCACGCTGCAGCTGCATGCGTCTCCACCTCCCTCGTGCCACGGTACCTATTCTAGCATATAACGCACCACCATTGGGAAAACCAAATATTTGCTAAGTGAACAAGGTATGTTTTCCGTTAAAAAAATAATATGTGGGGTAACAAGCCAGCACTTTGTACTGTAAATAATAGGAGAGCAGTTGCAGCAGAGATTGCGGGGTGGAACCGACAATTTCCCGCAACGTCATTAAACCCATCTGTGAGGGGAACGGTTTCTATGGTGGGGTTTTTCTTGGAAGACAGTAGCCTGTCTTCCAAGAACAAAAGACGGGTGAACTCCATCCCTAGACCACCGCTGACCTCCATTTCAGCACGGAAACTGCTACAGCAGCAACTGAAAGAAAATGCTTTGCAAATACGAGACGTGTGCTGAGCTGGATTTAACCACGGAAAACCGATAGAAGTCTCATATCTGTCAGCTGACCGACCAGATTAACCCTCGTCCCTAGGAGTTTGCTTGCAAAACCATTGTCACACTCATGCAGGGCGTTAACTGTATTCTCCCACCCGTAGCAAAGGCCCCAGCGCTGACCACAGTGTTGTACAGTGACGAAATCCTGCTCAGCTAGAAGGGAAAGGGGGCTTGCATAGCAGCCGTGTGTAATGTAATGTGTGATGTTAAGCAAAGCACAGCCTGCAGTGGAGACAACACTTTGTCTGCTGAAGGAATCGCACATTCAAAACTGCACGCTTAGAGGCACAAGTATCAAGGCAGGGCTTGATATGGGGGTATCTGTTCATGTGCACTTTCTTTGAGACGTTTCCACCTAGTACCATTTTGTTCTGAGCCAAGCCTTTCCACTGATTTAATCTGACCCATAATCTGAAGGTGTTGAGAAAACTTTCTGCTGAAAATCATCACGTGATACGGCTTTTAGCAGATGAGAAGAGGGGCTGACGGGGTTTGAGACTAGCACGCTGGCACAGCTAGCACCATTTATGTAAGGATACTCCTCGGGGGTGTCAGGATGGTGGGCGCTGCGGGATGACGGAGACGCCTCAGAGCATCTCAGAGATGGAGCTCTTGTTCGGGCTGTTCTTTTGTTTTTGGAGTTGGTTTCTTTGCTGCTTTTCTTCCTTTGGCCTCAGCAGCTACTAGGGAGATTACCATAATTTACTTGGACTGATTTTTATATCTTTTCACTCCAGATTTTCATTAAGTCTTTGATTAGGGACTGAATAAGGAGAGACCTGTATTCTTTCAAAACACAGTGTAAATCAGATGAAGTACAATAAGAACAAAGGCAAAGTGCTGTGCTTAGGACTGAACAATCAAATGCCCAGATACAAATTGGAGAACACTTAAGTTGCAGTACTGCAGAAAAGGATCTGGGAGCTATCATGTGAAGATGAGTCAACAGTGTGCCGTTGCTGTTGCTGCGGCTGCAAAAAGCCAATAGCATACTGGGATGTAATAACAGAAGTCTGGAAAAGAGAAGATTGAGAGGGGATTTGGTAAAAATCTTCAAATACAAAAAATAGTTATAAGGAGAAGGGTGATAGACTCTTGTGTGTGTCCGCAGGGGACAGGACAAGAAGTAAAGCTATTACATTGCAGCCAGGGAGATACCGGCTGGATAGCGGGAAGAACTGAGGGCCGTTGAGCGCTGGAGCGGATTAGTGAGAGAGGTTATGGAGTGAACCTCTGCACTGGATGTTTTTAAGCGCGTGTTGCGTGAACAATTGGTTAGGATCCTTTGGAGTCTGGACAGGAACGATCCTGCCTTGGGCGGGGGGCTGGGATAACTTCTCGTAGGCCTAACTTTCTTTGTGAAAACCAAATAGACTGCCATCATTACAATACAAGGTTTTGCTTATACTAATTAGTCTGCAGTGCTGCGATGTCGGCAGTCTGAGGAGTGGTTGTTAATACCCGTGCGAAGCACGTTCTCCCAGATCGCTCTCGTATTGGATGGCGTGCCCACGGTCTAATATAGGGTGTTTATCAAAAAAAGAAATAAAAAAGGTATGGCCGGAGCCTCTAAACCTGAGAAAATAATTATTTTCCTTGTTGTCAACAAGCGCCTTCAGGCTCAAGTGTTTACACAGCACGGTTTTCTTGAAGCAGCTCATGCGGGTATCTTTGCTAGCAGTGGGAGCGACTGCTCGTACGCAGTCACCGGCTGCCCCTTCGTTCCTCAGCGCTGCTGCCCGCCTGCGTCCCTGGCCGTTTACAAGATCTAACTCGAAACGCTCTCCTGGTTTTCACAATTCTGCTTTTTCCCCCTTTCTGACGTTGCATTGCTGGCCCTTTTTGTCCCCTCCTCGGAGTCTTCTCCGTTGTTTGGAGCTATCACTTTTCCTCTGTCCTGACCCATTTATCTAGGATTCATCCTTTCCTTCTCAGACCTGAATTGTTAATTTTGTGCTTCTGTATAAGAACGAATTGCGCTGGAAAAAGACCTTTCTTTTGTTAGATCGTATTTATCAATATTTAATATTTATGACTCAAACAAATGCTGCAAGTTTTGCTTTTATGGACTTTCAAATTGGTTTTGCCATCTGGATGAACTTTTACATCTCTTGAAGCTGACAGAATCTGATTCTCATTCAGCCATTATGTTTCCCAAAGCTTAAATATTATTCTCAGAAATCTCCCCACAAATCAAACGTTGCATTGAAAGATTTGGATTTCCTATTTTCCCTTGCCAAATAACACCATGTTCTGTGCATGCAGTCTCTAGAAGAATGTCAGGGTATTAAAACCTCGGAGAGCTTGTTAAATTGTTCTGTAAGTGAAGAGCTAGCGAGGCATAGACTTTACATGCTAATGAAAGTATTGATACAGAGGAGCTGCGAGAGGAGAAAGAGCACAGGTACTTAGTTTGCCTTACTGGGCATGCATTCGATGGACATTTATTGGCAAATCCTGAAATAGTCAAGTATTTGACTAGATCTCTAAGTTACAGATCATAAAACATATGGTTAAAAATCTGCTTTTCATTTGCTGTGGTGCTTTTTGGCCTTTGATTTAGAAATAATAACTCTTAACAGCTTGTAGTGTTGTCCGATAGCTAACGATCTGGGTGAGAGCGATACTGGTGGAAACAAATGGACTTGCAAGGCTGTATCATAAAGTCTTTCCATCTGATAGCAAACGCGAATGTTTGCTGTGCCGGCTATCTGATCCAGGAGGAGCACGCTTTCTCTCGCAAGCCAGCGACACAATTCCTACCTGGGTCGTCAGTCCACAAAGGCCATCAGCACCGGCTGACGGCGGTCGGGCAGCCTGGGGTAATGGGCTGTGCAGCTCTGCCCAGTGTCTTGTGGACTGGTGCCACCGTGACCAGGGCTG